TGATCTCTTTATGTGGCAGATTGAGTAAAATGACAACGTTGAACTTAAAGTTCAACGACATTGTTTTTGTGCTTCACATTAACAAATAGATTTAAGATAAATACAAAGGTGAATATCAAAGAAATTGGTGAAGAAGCTTTTAAAACAGAGGGTACTGAAAATTAGAAGTTATTCATTGTATAGAGGATACATTGAAGGTGATGGGTGAGAACCATGAGTCTTCATATGGCCTACTATTCAGATATTATGCCATTATATAAGCTCAGAACCCTGGTGCCATAACAAGTGTCAATACTACAAGACTTTCAGATGATGAACCCTCACGATTTAATAGGTTTTTCATGTGTTTCCCTGGACAGCGAGATAGCTTTTTAAAGAGGTGAAAATAGTTGATTGTTTTGTTTCGATGTCATCTCAAGGGTCCATACCAAGGTGTAGTTATGTCAACAGTAACAGTGGACCCCAACAATGGTTTATTCTCTATTGCAGTGGGTATATCATATATGTTAGGTGGAAAATAATGCAAGTAGGTTATGGTTTCTACAATTGTTTCATGAGCATTTTGGTGAATTCAAAGAACATTGGCCTGATAATCCTGCGAAAAACTGCTATATGCAAATTTCAGGAGGATCTTTCCTGGTCAACATGGAAAGCCACTGAGAGAGTTGATTTTATTGAAATCATGCAAAAACTAAAAGACTATGATGAGAAAGCTTTTAAGTGGCTTGATCTGCTTCAGCCTTCAACCTGGTCCAAGCATGCAGTTGACTTATCATCACCAACAACTTTAGTGAACCATAAAGTAGTTGGTTAGGTGATATGAGATCAAAATTCAAAGCCAATTCTAACCTTGTTAGATCATATCAGGAGAAGTACTCCATGGTTAAAAGCAGAAATAAAGCATTGAAGTCGAAATGAAGCAATGGTGGTATTGTCTAAGATTGAATGATGATTACTATGACTGCCATGGTTGAGATTGCCCTGCAACCATAACCCATTGCATCATTTAAATCGGGATAAAACCGAGAATTGATTGAAGGCCTTATAGAATATATAGGAGACGTTATAATTGAATATTATTTTTAGAGATATATGAAAGATATCCTTGAAAATCCATATGTTTATTTTACAAAAGGTGAGAATTGATTGATTTTTTTTTTAAATATGTTTCATTAATTCTACACCTTTTCCATAATTAATGTTCAATGTTAATAATGTATTTTTCACATGATATAAACACATTGATCAAAAGAGCTTTCTCAGCAAAGGATTAGATTTATGACATATTTTACGAATCTTTGTTGATAAGATTTGTGGTTTAGTATATACTTTACTAATATCTATGAGTTTAATAAAATTTGATAAGAAATCAGTGGGTTTTTATTTCATTCACCTATTAAGAGATAATTTACGTTGAAAACACCCGGCCCATGGTTTTAGGGGTGTTTTATTAAAAATATTATAAAACACCCTAAAAAATTTATTAAAAAAAAAAAAAAAACCTTTAAAATACTATAATAAAGAAAACCCACATGTGGGAAGTTTTTTTTTTTTTTAATAATTGTTTGTCTGTTTTTGACTTAAATATTTCTCAAGGAGAACACAAATTAATAGCTTTGATTTAGTTTCCCAAAGGTTAAATAATGTAGATAATGAAAACATGTTAAATTTGTGATAATAGAAATATCAATTATTCTAGTTTTATGGGTTTTTCATGTGGATGAGGATGAACATGTGTATGACCTTTTTTCTTACAAGTCTCCGTGATGTATTTAATTGAGGGTAAAATTATAATATTGAATTTTCTATTTAATTAAAGAACTTCTTTTTATGGGAGGAAAAGATCCTAATTTATGAAAATCATGAAGATATGAAAGTTTGCAATTTAATAATGATGGTTGAAGAAATGGAAATCATCAACGTCATTGAATCTCAACCATCAATTATTCCATGGATTTGCCTCTTTTACGTTACAAGCCAGGATGAGATTATTATTTATTATTATGAAATTGAAATATAACATCATTAATGAGAAACTCAACGTACTTATAAAAGTTGGATTTTTTTCAAGAAAATTTTGAAACATCACTCTAATTTAAGTGAGAGTCTAATTTATAGTATAATTAAATTGAAAATGAAACATAATAAAAAAATCTTTAAGTTTTTTTTTAGCCCTCAATAGTTTATATACTTTCAATTACCCCCTTAAATAATTAAACCCAAAAATATACTATGAGATTTTATCCACTCCAATTATTAAGTGCAAAAATAAACTAAATGAAATATCAAACGAGAAGTGATTTTTAACCTTATCAAATTGATCTTATCCGTCATTGTTACACACACACACACACACACATATATATTAAACCCTATTTAATACTGAAAATAACTTTGCTTAATTAGGTATAATAACTATAGGAGCTTTTTAGAGAGTTTTTTTTTTTTTTTTTTTAATGTCGGGTGGAGAAGTAAGGGGTAAATCCAAAATTCGTTGATTCAATGAGTATCCAAAGTAATGATGAAAATTTCAATAATCCATTGATTCTTCGAATACTAGAAAATATTTAAAAAAAATTACTAGATGAACAAACTCACATAATGAATTACTAGATGCAATATGATAATTACTAGAATTATGTGAAAATTGTTAATAAATTAACTGTTTTTATTTTATCTATGTTCGGTGGTGAAGCTTCTGTGACTTGGCTTGTTGTTCATCATTTTGTGTTAATGGACCTCACCTCCCCCTTCTTGTAACCACCCAAATGACCAAATTGTTCATTTTAAGTAATCTTACAATTAATTCTAGGAGGCCAAAATGTTACATTGAATCAATGAAAGGGTCGATGAGGAGTTAGTAAGATACATTATGGGGCCAAAGTGTGAATTTCAAAGATTCAGGTGGCCAGAGTAGAGTAAAAAACCTTAACTAAAGGGATGAAAATAATAGATTTTTTTATAAAAAAATTAAAAAACAAAATTTGTCCAACCTAGTATACGAATGATAAAAAGGCAAAATTAAACTTCAAACACAATTAAAACTGTCACTTTGTGTGAAATTACATAGTTGCGTGCTCCAAGTGGATCTTCACCACACAAATTGGATAAATTCTCACAAGCGATCGTGAATTAGAAATTGTATGCTCTCGTACGATTTCTTCCCATTTTACTTTTATTTGATGTATTGACTCAATGACTATATGATATAGAATTAAAGTAAACAACTTTTTCTCATCCTTATAATGGTTTAATGATATTTTTTCGCCTAAAAAGTTTCAAAATACAACTTTATTACTCATAATACAGATTTGTTAGTGTTGTGAACAAATGCAAGATAGTCAAAAATTCGTTACAAATAAGGGTAGGATGGTCAATTAACATTATGCGTCAAAAATAAAAAAAATCGAACAGTTGGTAGGCGTGTTTCAAAGGTGGGTGGATTGGTGGCCAACGGTAAGGAAATTACAATCAATCCGCAACAAAAAGGACTCCAAATACAATCAAATTCCTTCCAAAACAACTCAAAATAAATAAATAAAATCCAATCAGCTATAAATTGTGACTATCACCCACAACAACCAAAAGAGTGGTGGACGGGGTTCGACGAACTACCAGACATCAAGATGTTGGGGATTTTGTTAAGAGGGTGACAATGGGGCTAGGAATGGTGATGGGTGGGGTTTTGGCTGTCGAAATCAACTATCGTGGTGGTTCGTGTTTTGGCCGTTCCAAAAAACTTCAAGCTTCCCATGAGCAATATTCCTGTGAGCAAAATCCGACCCAAACACACCACCAAACTTCAATTCTTTCTCACCACAATCATCAGAACACACAACAATCATCAATCAAGAAAAATCATATAAAAAAGATATCAAACAATCAAGTCTTCTCTCAGTCAACTCGGCTTTGAGAGAAAAAGAAAGGGAAGCAACAACAACCACAGCTAGAGAGAGGAAAGATAAGAAGAGAAGAAAAAAAAAAATTAGGAACAAACTGGTAATTTAATGTCAAATAATAAAAAGTATTTTCATCTTCATAATTAATACTACTAATGTTTAGATAATTAAGTTATATTTTAAAACTTTTTAGATGGAAAAGTACAGTGACCATTATTTGGGTAGAAAAAAATCATTTACTCTATAAAATTATAACAACCAAGTATCACCGACCGACAAAAACAATTTCAAGTATGACAAAACATAATTTAAATTCATTTTGCAACCACAAATTTAAAAACAAAAAAATATCAATGACATATCTTGATTAAGTGTGTAATATTGTTTGGTTTTTCTAGAGCAATACGGTGGTTACAAATTATGATATTATGTGTGGCAAATGAACGAAGAGAATGAAATGGTATTAGAAGACTCGCGACAAGGACATTCTGATATTTAGTTGAGATATTTGGATGGAAAATTACGGAGTTTACTAAAAAAACCCTCTAATCTTTGGTCAATTTATTAATATCCCATTTATTTAATATATGGATTATTCTCTAAACCCTTAAGATTTAATTAAATAGTAAAATAATTTTTCCCAGAGATTTTACAAATAATACAATTTTTTTTTGCAATGAAATATTAAGATTTGAAAATACTATACCCATAACCTCTTCTTACAAACTTTCTTTTACAATCTGATGTAACAGTTTATAATTGATTAGTTTATAATAGATCTCATCTGGATTCCATGTGATAAATTGTAATTAATCAATTACAAATTATCACGTTGAAATATTGAGAAAAAGTTTGTGAAAAATGATTATGAGCATAACATTACTCTTAAGATATAACTATGATTAATTGTTAATATATATTTATATAATTACTATTTAACAGTTTATTTTCGTACAAAAAATTAATAATAATAGAATTTTTTGATATGTTTTATAAGTTTAGATTAAGTTTTTATTATTTAATTATTTTTATAAACCTTAAATAAATTAATAACATAGGATTCCAGAATTTGCACCGAACAGTAGCATCTCTAAACGTGTGTAAAAGCAATAGTCAATAGACTGTCCTCACAACAACTCTCTTTCTTTTTCTCACTTGTTCACTTTACTCTCTCACCAAACTCATCTCCGTCTATAATGGCTGAAGATTCTTCCACTCCAACTCCACAACCACCACCGCCGCCGCCCCCGATAACTGAACAAGAAGAACCGCGGCCGCCGCCCCCGATAACTGAACAGGAAGAACCGCCGCCGCCGCCCCCGATAACTGAACAAGAAGAACAGCCGCCGCCCCCGATAACTGAACAAGAAGAACCGCCGCCGCCGCCACCGATAACTGAACAAGAAGAACAGCTGCCGCCCCCAATAACTGAACAAGAAGAACCGCCGCCACTACCAGCAGCTCCCATGACTGCAGAAGGTAGATCACTAGCTGCAATGATGGAAAAGGAATCGTCATCTTCACCCACAACAACCCCACCTAAAAGCAAACAAGAAGTTGTTGAAACAGAGCAAGAGAAGCCCCTTGTGAAGCATAATATTCCTCAGAGTTTGATCTCATTCAAGGAGGAAAGTAACATAGTGGCTGATCTCTCTGAAGTTGAGAGAAAGGCTTTGCAAGAGTTCAAGAAGCTTGTTCAAGAAGCTCTCAATAATCACCAATTTGCTTCAAAAGAAGAAAACAAACAGACCCCAGAAGCTGAACCAGACTCTGATAAAAGCACTGAAATAAAACCACCCCCAGAGGAAGAAAACCCTGAAAAGCAAGCAGTAGCAGCAGTGGAAGAAGCCAAAGAAGAGGTGTTCATCTGGGGAGTTCCTCTTCTTAAAGATGATAGAAGTGATGTGATTCTGCTAAAATTTTTGAGGGCAAGAGAGTTCAAAGTGATGGATGCTTTTACAATGATAAAGAACACAATCAAATGGAGGAAAGAATTTGGAATAGACAGGCTTGTCGACGAAGATCTTGGAGATGATTTGGAGAAAGTTGTGTTCATGCATGGTTATGATAGGGACGGGCATCCAGTTTGTTACAACGTGTATGGTGAGTTTCAGAATAAGGAATTGTATCAGAAGACTTTTTCTGATGAAGAAAGAAGGATGAAGTTTTTGCGTTGGAGGATTCAGTACTTGGAGAGAAGCATCAGAAAGCTTGATTTTAAGCCAGGTGGAATATGCACCATTTTTCAGGTTAATGATCTTAAGAATTCGCCAGGGCCTGGAAAGCGTGAACTTAGATTGGCTACCAAGCAGGCTGTTCAATTGCTTCAAGATAATTATCCTGAATTTGTTGCCAAACAGGTATAAAATTAACTACCTTTATGTGCTCTCTTGTTTCAATTCTCTTTCTTTTTTATGGGATTAATTTTTAACTTTGGGTTTGTTTAGGTATTTATTAATGTTCCTTGGTGGTATCTTGCGTTTTATACAATGATTAGTCCTTTTATGACTCAAAGGACCAAGAGCAAGTTTGTTTTTGCGGGCCCATCAAAATCTGCCGAAACCCTTTTCAAGTTAGCTACCATTTTTGCTATTGTTACTCATTCAAAGTTTAATTTCCATTTCCAGCTTAGTTTAAATTTTAGATTGATTTATTTTAATTGTATTAAACAGATATATTTCGCCTGCACATGTACCGATTCAATACGGTGGCCTGAGTGTAGATTACTGTGATTGCAACCCAGAGTTCACGATTGATGATCCTGTCACTGATATCACTGTAAAACCAGCAACCAAGCAAACTGTGGAAATCATAATTTACGAGGTTGGATTGCTTTTTTTTTTTTTTTTTTTTTTTTTTTTGGTTTGTACTAGTAGGCGATACTTGCTTCTGCATGATCAAATTAACTAAGTTTAATATGATACATTTGCAGTCAATGAATGATGATGAATCAACTGTCAGTTTTTTGCTCTACTAATTAGAAATTCATGAATTGCAGAAATGTATTATTGTTTGGGAGATCCGAGTCGTTGGATGGGAGGTGAGCTATGGAGCTGAATTTGTGCCAGATGCTAAAGACCAATATGCCATTATCATTCAGAAGCCTACAAAAATGGCCCCAGCTGATGAACCGGTGGTGTGTACCAGATTCAAAGTTGGTAATTTGGGCAAGGTATTGCTCACCATTGACAACCCAACCTCAAAGAAGAAGAAGTTTCTCTACAGGTTCAAGATTGAACCCTTCTCTGATTGAATATCTCATCATATTAAGGCTTTGAATGTGGAAACTTAATTTGTTGCTCTTTAGTTTCTGGTTAAGTCTCTCTATGTGGTTTATGCTTACTGCCATGAGGAGCAATGCTGGTGGAAATTAGCACGAGTGTGAATTTGGTGTTGGTTTGCAACATTTTACTTTAAAAAAGGATTGTCATGTTTTGGGTGAACAAATAGACTTGAGGTGGCTCAGGAGATAAATGGTATGTACTGTTTAATTGGGGTGCTTTGCACTGTATATTTTCTTTTCTCATGGATGTCTAAATTTTGAAACCAATGCAGCCTTGTACTTTTTAACAGTCTATGCTATTGGTTGGTATTTGTATATCTTTGAATGCTTGGTATTTGAACTTGATAATAGTAGGGTATTGATTAAACCAGCGAATATTTTGAATATCTGTCTGTCTTAATTTGCAATTCTCTTTTCATTGGACTACTTAGTTTGGTTATGTATGTTTTCACTTCCATTCAGTTCTCTATCTCAACTTACAAAAATTGGTATTGATATATAAATACTATATAGGTTGTGGATCAAATTTTGTTCCCAAATTCTATAAATATTAGTTGGACTTTATCCAATTATCTCTCCTTCACCTAAGTTCTATATGAAGCTTAGTGTTGTAATAAAGTCAGTAAATTATAAATCAAAGTGAATATAATAGATGATATCATTTTCTGAAGCACTTAACACAGAAGTTGGATGATATTGGATCTGTAATTGATGTGCATTTAACACAGATGTTATTTTCTGGTGATAATTTAAAGAATTGGTGTTGTTTTGAGGTTCCTTCCTTATAGTGTAGCTCCTAGGGCTGTGCAAATCCGGATATCCGATCCGAATAGGGCATTTTTTGATCCGATCCGAATTTTCGGACAAGCTATTTGTTGATCCGAATCCGATCCGAATTATGTGGATATCCGTTATCCGGATATCCGATTATTCGGATCGGATATCGATATCCGAATTTTATCCGAATTTTAATATTTTCTTATTAAAATAAAACCATAATTCAATCCTTCATTTCATCCTTCATTTCATTGAACTATAAACTATAAAGACAGCAATTTAAAATTTTTCCGAAACTGTTCAATGAACTACAACATAAACTATAAACTAAAAAGTATAAGCAATTAAAATGACTATAAACTATAAAGACAGCAAGAGTAAATCCAGTTGTTTGAGTCCAATCACTCGAATTCAGCAAGAGAAATCCAGTTGTTTGAGTCCAATCACTCGAATTCAGTTGCTCAAGGGACCATCAAGTCTTGTCCCTTGCCAAATGCCAGTTGCCACCCCACGTAGAAACTAAAAAGACCAAGGTGAAGGTGCTCCAATTCATCACTGCACAAAAGGAAAAATATTATGTCAAACAATGAAAAATCAACAATAATTCACTGTAGTACAGTTTCAAAGAGCATTCCAATCGAAGAAAAATGAAGAGCAAACAAATTGAAGAGAGAGAGAGAGAGTTTCTCATTTTCTGCAGTTTCGAAATACAAAGCTTCTGGTTTTGTAGGCTGCTGAAGAGTAAAACGCACCACATCACTAACAAACATTCAAACAAACAAAGCTGGAAGCTAAAACTGGAAAGTGGAAACTGGGAGCTTGACTGCTAAAACCTAAAACTGGAGAAGTTGGACTTTGCTCAACAATCCCCCTCAAACTAGACTTCCTAGCAGCCTGTAAATGAAGTTGCCAAAACCGTAAAAGTTAACTCGCGTCATGAAACTTGCATATTTGGTGACTTCAAAAAACACTTGCTTCAACTCAGTACCCATTATTCTACGATATAATAGGCAATAGCATTGCAAATTTGCAACTAGAAAGTAGTCAAGTACTGAATAAAATCTCACCAGGCTATTACGTTGTGACAACAATCGATTTGGGGCTTCAATCGATTGAGATGAGATCTGGTGAAAGTGTGAGAGATTGAGACGACAGAGTACAACGCGATCGGTCTGAGAGACTGAGGGCTGTGCCATGTGTGACTGACGATGACGGCTGTGACTTGTGAGAGCTGAGAGGCTGTGCGATACTGTGCGATTGACGATGACGATTGACGCTGTGCGTGAGCGAGAGTGCGAGACAGCGTGTTCGTGTAACGATCGTGTTCCAGTCGAGCGAGAGAGATGCTGGATTGCTGGGTGTTTACTGTTTAGGCCTTTAGGGTTCGTGACTTCGTGTTGTTCGAGTCGAGTCTGAGACACAGAGACAGAGAGGGGTGAATTTAATTTTGAAAAGCAGTGTTAGTGTCTTAGTGGTTACTGTGTCTGTGTTAGGCTGTTGGGTGTTGGCATGTTAAATAGGGGGTGAATTTAATTTTGAAAAGCATGTTAGGGGGTGAATTTATTTTGAAAACCAAAACGACGTAGTTTAGCAAAATCCGGATCGATACGGATATCCGATTTTTTAATTATCCCGCTCGGGTATCCGATCCGAATATTCGGATTTTGCTAAATTCCGATCCGTATCCGATCCGAATTTCGGATATCCGATTTTTCGGAGCGGAGCGGAGCGGATTAGATCGGATATCGGATATCGGATTTTTTTGCACAGCCCTAGTAGCTCCAAGTAAAGATATCTCAATTAGAGTTTGTTTATGTATAACTTGTATTGCCCCAGTTGATGCTGGCTTGCCAATTGTGTATGCATCTTGATCTTGATTAAGCCTTATTGATCCCTTGAGATAAATAAAGATGAAGATTTAACCCTCAAATTACCATGTAGAGATTGACCATTTCTGGTTCATAAAATAATACATTCAGTTGAAGAAGGGTGGTACCAATAACTTCAATTAATTTAACATTGACATTTTTTTTTTGATAAAGTAAGATGCTTTGTGACAGATATGATTGCTCATGCTTATTGTTCATTGAATGAAACCAAGTCTTATCATTTGGTGGTTTTTATCTATGATTTTACTGCACCTCTGTACTGGCGTGGCCAACCTAATAAAACACAATGCCATGCTTCTCAATTATTCCCTTTTTTCTTTTGTTAGGTATAACGATATTTACTCAAATTTAATATAAATAGAGGTAGCTGCTTCACATTTCATCAATATTTTCAATCCCAACCCATTTAAAGATTCTTCAAGGCAAGACATATATATATGCTTATGTTAATACCCGCTTTTGTTAAGGAAGCTCAATAGGTCCAAATGGACTCAATGAAACATCAACAAATTGGAGTTTTAAGCAATTCGAGCAAAGCTTGTTGAGCTCGATTCAAAGGGGGTTTTTTTTTTTTTTTGACCTTTTAACTTAAAACCCTTTTCAGAAATCGGTAGAAAGTCTAATACGACTTATTAGAATTGAAATGTTTATTTGAATTAGGCCCACTTAAGGGAACCCTAATTGGACATTTCGATTTTAATGAACGTGAAAAACTTTTTTTTTAACAAAAAATCTAATAAAAGTATTTCATAGAATTACTCTAGAATTCCGAAAAGAAAAAAAATCCCAAAACTATTCCATTATTCGGCAGAGCAAGAGAAGAGGTCTTTATCACCGAATTTGACAAATTCATGTAAGTGTCAAAATGTGGTTACAATCAAGTAGATCGCTCCGAGTGTCGGATCTCAGTTACCATCCATGTGGCGAGGTTGGACGAGAAGTGGGATATGCCCAAAACCAAGAATAATTATTATCCCAATGGTGGTTGGGGGAGATGGTAGAAGATGAAAGATTTTATAGAGAAGCTTTGGATGCTTTGGAGTAGGTAGAGAGTGAAGCTGCGAATGGTTAATGTGAAGCGGCACTTTTTTATTTCCTTACTTGCAAAAATTATTCCTAAGCATCCTCTTTGGCCTTAATATTAGGATGAAGTAATCTTTTATTCAATTGTGTCTGCAATTAAGTTTTCAATCTTTATCTGTTCCTATGTTAAGGGCCAAAGTAGACGGCAGGGGTATCTATGATAGTTTCTAATAATTGAGGGGTCTAAATAGCTTCACAAGTTTCAAAGATGTATTTAGTTTTATTTTAATACTTTTCCAAGAAAAAGACTTTGCCACTAGGTTGTTGGTACTTTCTCAGGGTAACAGAAACCCAAAGGATAAGGGCCGCAAAGCCGGCTAAATTAATATGAAAATCGCTGTCACCGTCTCTCTTCTTTGCTTAGTTGTACGCACCTCAACTTTAAACAAATTCTTTTCTTCTTTTTCAAGTTATAAATATCCTATTTTTTATTCATTTAAGCTTTAATTATGACTCACCTTCCCGAGATTGGCTCTAATCTTCTTTCAATCACCTTCACTAATTTTGCTATTCAAGATTGATAAGTTACAATAATCTATAATTAAAACAAGGATAATCGTTAATTTTTTCTTACAAATATGATCTATTAGATTGCAATGGGTCAGTTTATAATAGATTCTATCTGTCCAACAATAGATTTCAATTACGAGTTGTCATATCACGTTTCTATTTTTATTGTAAAACAAATAATATTTTGATATGTTGAAAATTCATACTCTTTTAGGTAGTTGAAATACTTGAGAAATCCTTATAATTAATCAATTGATAATTTCCAAATTAATATGCTATAAAGGTTTGCCATTTACACTCCTAAATATTGCATTTATAATTTCAAAAAAAGTACTACAAGATCCCATAAGAGGGTTTAATTATCAAAATCTATTTTAAAATTATTTAAAACACCCCAAAAGGATATATTAAAAATCCCATGTTAACAATAATATTCCCCCTTAGGTTTAAAAACAAAGATCTTTTTAAATTGTGATTATGCTAAAAATTTATTATCTCATAACGAGGAATGTTTTGAACTTTATAAAAATAAGAAATTAAATAAAAAAGTGTCTACTGTAGAGCATTAGAGTTCAGTCGACTTTAGCTTTTATAGTGAAAATAGTAAGAATTGGATGAAAGGTCTTTTATACTAAACCAATTAAGAAAATATTAGATTTTAATTTAGGCCCTAAAAAAAAAAAAAGATTTTATAAATAATTATTTCATTTTTCTTAAATTTAATTAATTTACCTATAAACTATCATCAGGCCCAAATTATGTGTTTTAGACTAAAATAACCTTTTAAAATAAATTCCGTCACCCTCGGTTTAATATATATAGCAGAAGGCGAGGCAAATTGTGAAATTTCATGAACTTATAATGCCTTGTTCTCTTTCAACAGCAAACAGTATTAATTGGCCATTTTGTCTGACTTGAACATCATTAATTAAACCACAAACACAATTCGTGATCTAAGCATGGCATATGGTTGGTGCATTTAATAACCTCTAAATTTTTTTATTTTTTTTTTATTTTGGGTACTAAAGTATCTGGGTCTAGTTTATGTGTATCTTAACTAATTTTCGAAATCCATTAAACAAATTACGAGTTTAAAGAATCATGTAAGCCACAATATATTGTGGT